GTGAAGCAATTATGCACTTTTGCATTATCCAATCCTCATCAATCCAATGACATGTAACAGTAAGGTAATCACAGTCGTTGTTACTACTATCAATATCAGTTGTAATAGCAACACGACAATTTACATGAGTAAATAAGTAGTACAAATATTGTTCATATTCATGCATATATTTATAAATATCGCTCTTTACGGTTGTGCGAGGAAAACCTTTATAAGTAGGATTATAAATTTTTCTAAAGTAAGGCACAAACGCAGGATCAGAAGGAAAACTATAGGGTAAGCATATAACAGTTACCAATTTTGTCAATTCTTCCCGATTTTTTCTTGGATCATAATATAAAATACCACCGGTAACAGTGTTTAGCTATGTGTCTAGCCAAAGTTCCCATCCCCGACCGCATTGGTGCATATTTAAAAGCTAACTCTAGACCACAAGTTTTACACTTGGCCTTACTTTTTTCAACTAATTGAGTAAAAATGGCCAAACAACATATGTTTTCGTCCGTTTGGTAGGTTCTCTAGAAAAAGTAGGGGCAGTAACGGGAGTATCAGTTGAGTCATCATTAGGATTAACAGCGATATCACTAGTTGGGTCAACATCAAGAGCATGACCAGTGGGTGTATCATCGTTCGGTTGAGTTTCATCAAAATCAATTTCCTCATCATCTTTTTCATTAATAGTAGTACAATCATTAGTGTAGAGAGCATTCATTAATTCATGGTTTAAAAAATCATCGGGTGCAATATTATGGCAAAATTCAGTGTCGGTAATTGTAATAAACTATTATCTGTATCAAGAATAACAGGTGCAGGACGGCTACGGGGTTTGGATCGGGGAGCCTGGGGCGGGATTAAGGAAGACATCTTAATTAATCAAGTAATAGCAACTAAATTAAACAAACAAAACTATAATATTAAGACTTAAGAGTTGGAACGAGTTAACCGAATTGACGACAACTTGTTAAAAATTGATTATCGTTAAAGACTTGAAGACTCCGATTCTCCAACTTCACAATTCTTTCACAAATTCTAACAACCTCAATATTTTTTGACTATTTTTTTGAATAAAGTAAGCAATAGCAGCAAACTCACAATTTTTTCACTATTATTTTTTTGATTAAATAAACAATTGTAGCAAGTATTGAAGAAAATTAGAAAAAAATTTTGATAGATTGGTATTGATTTTATAAGAAAAATGAAAGAATAAGGGGATATTTATAGTAGAAAATAGAGAAAGAATGTAATAATAAAAAGTTTGGGGTTAAATATTAGTTGGGGGTTAAATGGCTATTTTTTGAAGAGCCAACGACTCTTTTTTTTTAAAAAAACCGTTGGGCCCTTTTGGCCCGCCATGGGATTTGAAGAGCCAACGACTTTTTTTTTTAAAAATTCCGTTGGGCCCTTTTGGCCCGCCATGGGATTTGAAGAGCCAACGACTCTTTTTTTTTAAAAAAACCGTTGGGCCCTTTTGGCCCGCCATGGGACCGGTCCCATGGCGGACCGGTCCCATGGTGGGCCAAACGGCCCCGGTCTAAACGGTCCTAAATGGTAAAACCGACCCACAAGATCGGCACGAACCCACCAATCGCGGGCCAAACAGTCCCAGCCCATTTAGTCCGTTTAGCCCGCGGGTGCAGGCCGGTCCCGGCTGCCAGCCTTAGCTACAACGTGTTAATCAAGCCAACTCACTCAATAGTACTATATTAATCCAAAAAGTTAGTTAAAAGATATTAAATGGACCAACTCTTAAACCTCACTAATCACTTATTCAACTGAGATGAATTAATGCAGCATCTCTTCACTCTAACCTTAACCCATAGACAATGATAAATATTAAATGTACCATCTTCTAGCCCTTAAACTTAGACTAGAAACTTATTTACCACACATTTTCTCCAAATCAAGCCTCTCCAATATGGATTCCCATGGTTTCACCTGCATGCCTTCTTAATTACTCTCACTAAATCCATTCCAAGTGGACATCTCATTTCACAAGTTCTCTACTTCTACAAAATTCTCATGCTTGTAAATTAATATGATGAACACATGCTCGCAATTGCCCGCCTTTACTAGAACTTGATTGCACCATGTCCTAACGGCTAACACAAACCTAAAGCTTAGTCAATCACTTATTTACTAAAGATTTAAAACGCATTTTCCTAATATTAAATCCATGGCAATCAATTGTCTACTACAGATTAAGTTATTCTCACAATGTCCTATCGTTAATTATATCGAATTTTCAATGCGCTCAGAGTCACGAGACAAATAAGAAGTAATCAACGTCGTTATCTTGGTTTTCTTTTCTTATTAGTAATTAACTATTTTGTTAATACATGTCTATTTAAGATGTTAAATGAAACAGTTTTCATCTAATATTTAAAAGGTAGTTCTCATATCGTGCATGCTATCACTTTTCCAAAAACTTAAATTGACCAAATCTACCAACATAACGATTTTGACTTGGAAAACTGATAGCATGCATGATATGGGAATTATATTCTAAATATTAAACAAAAATTGTTTCATTAAATGTCTTAAATAGAATGTATGTTGTATTAAAGAAACAGTTAATAATAAGAAAAAAAGCCAAGACAATGATATTGATTGCTTCTTATTTGTATCGTGACTCAAAGCGAACTGAAAATTTAATATAATAATGCATACTAGTGAAACATATCATCTTAAAATAAAAAATAGTTTTAATAATATTGTACATTTGTACAATTTCTACGACAAAACTTAAATGACCAAATTGTCCCTCAGAAACAAAGCTATATAAAAAGTAGTTCAACATTTTCAGCAAAGCTTATTGCTTATTCCTTTAGTTTTCACTCTTTCTTTAATATAATTGCATAAAATCAACGATTTTTTGTTTTTTACCTAATCCATAACGTCGAAGATAAAAGCTGATCTTTGTTTACAAAAATACAACAAAATATCATTTCTAAACCAAAAAACATTATAAACTTAATAAATTGCAAAATAAGTATAATTGCTTTCTTCTTGGAAAGTTAATAGCATGTAGGAACTATCTAATAACATTATTATATGTCTAGCCAATATAATGACATTGATTGTCTAGTCATAACTATCTAATGGCATTAATTATTGCTCAAGTTACATGGTTGTTTCCAAAATTGCTCCACTGTAAGTTTCTTTCGTCATTTTTAATCACTATATTTTCTTATTTGATATTGACAGAACCTAAGTCAGATAATTACTTTACAGAAGAAAAAAAATCATTTCAGTTTATCCCTTTGGGTTTGCGAACTGTTGCCATGTCAACCTAAGGTTCACCCCTTTAATCCTCTTAGGTCTATCCTCACCATAACCTAACCGACACGTTTCAGACTTTGAGAGATGTTTTTACTCGACTTAAAGTGGAAGCGTGGCATATTCGTCACATTGTTGAGAGGACGAGAAGGGAAACCCAATAAGAGAATAGGAAAATCAACAGGATTCTCACAGCACTCCTCCTTGGTAGAGTTTGTGGAAGACTACATAGTCTTTTAGGAAAATAATAACTTTATGTTACCTTAGCTTTATAAAATCTTTAAAGTTGAGCTCTAAATTAAAAAAGGACCAGCAATTCTAAGTTGAGATGATAGATGCAAAGACCAAAAGCTTCTCCTAAAACAGAATACAAAACTAGGTTACCACAATCTGTCCTGAAGATTCAACAATAACAACATCCCCATTGTTATCCCACAAGTGGGGTCTGGGAGTCCTGAAGATTCACCAAGGTCATTTAGATTATTCCAGCCACATTGTGAGGGTTTAGAGTGGGTGATAATACTACAGTATGCTTTTGGGGACATAAATAGAAATAGGAGAGCTTGATGGGATAGAGAAGGGATTACCCTTATTATGTTTTGGTGCACCCATGAGATTCCTTTAAGCATAGAAGTCTGGGTGTCTTTTGTCGAGAACCATATTTGGTTGTGAGGTTCTCTATTTTTGCATACTTCTTGTATACGGGCATTTAGGCTCTTCATTAATGAAATTTTTGTTACTTGATTTTAAAAAAAAGATTATTCCAGCCACATGCCAATAAAGATTCAAGGAAAATTCTATTACAGTTATAAGCAAGGACATCTATTGTACATTTTACACCACTATCAGGTGAATAGAGTTGATCTACTTCCTCATTCTTGCTAGAAGAGATTGCCATGTTTGAGGCACACCAAGGACCCTATTAAGACTCTACCGCAGAATAAAGGAGTAAGCATGCAAGGAAAAGGGAAATTTAAGGACACACACACACACACACACACACAGAGAGAGAGAGAGAGAGAGAGAGAGAGAGAGAGAGAGAGAGAGAGAGAGAGAGACCAAAAATCAATGAGAGAATGGACGTAAAGATAATGTACAAGTACATGAACACAGTCCTAAGCTTAGCTGCAATCGGCAGGATTGGATTGGTCTAGAGACCCTTAAGTTATTTACAAACCATTATGTTAGTTACAAACCGGTATTAAAGCATAAAGATGGATTTTATGTATTGACTGAATTTAGCAATGTATCTTGAATTGTTTTTTATCAAGAGCAATGCATCTTGAATTGTATACAGAATAAACAGTGCTATCTAACTACTCCCACCACTCAAGAGAGAGAGAGAAAAACAAAAGATTAAGGAAAACATTACCAATTATAATAAGTGTACAAGGGATATCAAAACTGTGCAGTAGGGACATCTTTTTTCACATCTTCGACTAATTTCAAATAACATCTGAATCCATCAACACTTTAATTTACGTTTTATGCATGTACAAGATTATGTTTCTTCTGACGTGAAATAGCATACAGGTTGCAAGCCGCACAAGAAGAGATACTGCGTTAATGCTGAAACTAGATTCCAGGTAGACTAAAAATCCCTCAAATAGAAACACATCAAATAACACAAAGCAATAGATCAGAAAATCACATATACCCTCAAATTCAGGAAAGAAAATGAAATACGAACATATGCAGGATGAACAAGAAGAACAGAAACTGACCAGCAAGATGATCCTGTCTTTCTCTTTGCTAGGCTCCAAAGAGGGCTGCAATTCAGAAAGCATTCGCTCCACACTATGGGATACAGGCTTCAAAGCAGAAACCTTTGGTTCCACACTTCGTTGCTGAAAAGGAATCTCTGAAATCCGCTCCTCAAATGGTACTATATCGAGTCTCCTGATCTCATTTCTTGCACCCAGTCCAGAGACTGATATTTCCTTTCCCATCCTCCCCTCAAGTGATCTTGCGATTCTCTCCTCTGTGCACCCTGCATCACTCTGTTGCTTCAAGAATGGAAGCGTCGGTGAAAAACTCATTACAGGTGAAGGAAAAGGAGAAAATCCTTCTCCACTCAGCTTTGCTAGTTGTCTTTCCATCAAGAGCTCTCTTCTTACTTCATACTCCAACATGCGTCTTCGAGCCATCTCTTCTGCAATAATCTCCTCTCTAATACGCTCCTTCTCAATTTCTCTCATAATTGCCTCACGCATAATGGTGGGATTCTCAATCTCTCTCCTCATTGCCTCATGCAAATTGGCGGATTGGTGTTGGAAATGATCAAGTGCGTTTCCAGAATGAGGCGCCATGTAGCCAGCTGAAACTTGTGATAAACATCACAAAGAGCAATATTTTAGTCTCAATGAACAATGAACAAACATAAATTGTACAATGCAGGAGCATTCAGCCAATAGAAGTAAGAGAGCAATGAAAAGGCCAAACTTAGAAATTTATCTCTAGTAAGTAACTACACTTCATCCGCTTCAATTCTGTTTTGGTTAATGCAGACAGACAATTCCAGGACTTTAGACGATTCAAAAGTCGATATATCTCTTAAATGAACTTCACAAAGGCTAAGACTGATACTTTAGGAGAGTCATACTTGTTAGGAAATAGTAAAGAAGAAACAAGATTATGGAATAAAGAAAAAGGGCGTTCGGTGTGTGAAAACACTTTCAGAAACGAGTGATTTCTGACTTTTAGGGATAGCAAATAATACTCTTCTTTGGATACAACAAGCATTTTACCAATAATCCAAACGCAACTGCTTTGAAAATGGAACAATGTCAAGAACGTAAAAAAAAAAAATCTTTGATGGTTTTATTGTTTCCAAAAAAGTTGAAACCTTTCAAAACAGATCATTTCCTTCCACTAATTAATTGTCCAAATTAAAATTTTCCAAAAATAAAATAAATTTTTTAATGTAACACTTAAGACATATTACTCACACAGCACTTTCAATGTGAGATTTCTGAATCCAGCACATATCACCAACTTTCCTGAAAATCACCCTCTTTACTTAATAAACTATTTGCACTTTATTAGAGTAACTAAACTATACAACAATACTAACGTTAAAAGTTGCAACCAGACCATAAGTCACAGGTCCAAGCCACAAAAACAGCCTCTTGTAGAATGCAAAGTAAAGATTGCATACCCAACAACGCGGGCCCGTTCTCGGACCCGAGCGTAGCAGGCTGCCGTTTATATACAACAATACTTACGGTAAAAGTTGGAAGTCACGAGTTCAAGCCACTGAAACAGCCTCTAGTACAATGCAAGGTAAGACCCGATACTTAGTGCACCGGGCTGCTATTTTTATAAAGCAGTACACTTTACCGAATCCTTAATTAACTACAATCTCTCTAAATATAGCTAACAGCAAACACAAATAAAACCGAAACTTCCCTTCCCGTTACTATAAAAACAGATCATTGAACAGAAAAAAAAAGTTTAAAAAATAGAGAAAATGCAGAGAAAAGGAACAGACCACGAATGGCTTGTTGAGTGAAGTAAGTGAGAGTTGAAGACTGATGCTGCTGTCTATAAGGAGGAGGTTGGTGTTGTTGTGGTAATGATTCATCTACCGATTTATACTTATAATCCATACCAAAAATTTACTTCAAAATCGGCAAACAAATAGTCGCAAATTTTGTAATATTACATATAATGCAGCAAAAAACAGAGATTTTGAGAGAGAAATTGTAGGGTTTTGTAAGAATTGAATGTGAAATAATGGAGGAAATAGGGATAGGTAAAAAGGGAAAGTTTTGGGGCGTAAATTGACGATTACTTTTTGTCAGCGAAACGGTACTTTATGAAGCGAGGGAGGTACGAGAAGAAAGTTATTCGTAACACTTTTCACTTTTCGAAATTTAAATGTTTTAAAATTTTAATTATGTATTTGGACATACAAAAAAAAACAAGGCCAAATAGATATGCGGCCCCTTAAATTTGGCTTCAGTTTTTATTTTGACACTTTAACATAGTGTTTTTTCTATTGAACACTTTAATATTATATAAAGTGGATCTATTGAACACTTTACTCATAACGAGTAAAAACAATAAGGTGCGTGTAATTCACGCATGAATGACTGAGCAAAATGACAAATAAGAGGGAGACATGGCATTTGGGCCCAAATAGTCAAAAAGAAGTTTTGAAAACAAAAAAGATTTATTTTATACATAAATTCCCCCAACAATTCCATCGTCTTCTCCGCATTTCCCCATCGGTTCTATTACCTCCCACCAATAGCCGCCATGGACACTATCTTCTCCAGTTAAACCGAGAAGCAAAATGATCATACTGTTAATCTCATATTCCAAGCATTCAACACATGGCGTCCGAAGAATCCTAAATCCAATCTATTGAACGAAGCTCAAGAGGAAGAAGACAGCAATTAAGGTAAAAATTTTCCAAAAAAGAAGTCACAAAGCTCGAGCCAAAAACGCCACCATCAAGAGGCGACTGCAGCTGCCGCCACCACTGCTCTCTCTGTTGTCTCGGGCTTCACAGTGTAGTTCATTTTGACTGTCTCAGGTCATTTGCTCACAATTTAACTAATGAATTTCACGGTGCAGTTTATTTTTTTCATTAAAACTACTGAAATGAGCATTTAATCTGTAGCCGTCACTACTGAATTTTACAGTATTTTCGTGGCGTGAAGGAGTTTTCTGGTCAGTGTGAGGAAATGATGGTGGGGATGGTGGCTCGGAGAGAAGGAGGAAGAAGAATGTAAAACTATGTTTTTCTTAAATAAAACAAAAGAAAAAAAAATGATTTTGGTATTACTTCATGCGTCTAAAGAGAGGTGAGACACACTCTTTTTGTCACCTCATCAGACGTGTTCAATAGGCATAATTTATATGACGTTAAAGTGTTTAATAGGTACAAGCTTTAGTTAAGGTGTTAAAATGAACACTGAAGTCAAGTTTAAGGGGTTGTCTAGGTATTTGGCCAAAAAAAATTAGTTTGATGCATAAGATATTTCATATTCACCTAGGATTTGAAGAAGATCACACCTCAAAGGATTTTATATAGATGGCCTATCCGAATGCAAGCATAGTTACTTCCACGGCTCGAATTTGTGATCTATAGATTACACTCAAATAACTTACCCTCAATCTTTTAATTTTTTGAAATAAAATTTATATATTTAAAACTTACATAAAAAATACTATAAGTAACATTAATTATTAATAATTTAAAATATTTAAAAATAAAATGAAAAAATTACAGTCAAAGTAAATTCATTTGGCTCTCAATATCCGAGCGCACAAGACGGAGGAAGTAATACTAATAGAGCCCGTTTGTATTGGCTTTAAAAAGTGACTTTTCAGCAGAATAGCTTTAAGATAAAAAGCAATAAGTTGAGGTTGCCGAGCTTCTTGCTTTAGGCTTGTTTTAAGCAGTTTTTAACTTATTTTAAGCACTTTTTGACTTTGTCAAATACTGAAAAAAAATTAAAAAAAGCTTAAAAGTTGATTTGACTAACTTAAAAGTCAATCCAAACATCCTCTAAATTTGCTTTTGAACGATGATTTTAAGAATTGTAAAAGAAAATCGGAATCCTAAAAAGAAAAGGAAAAGAAAAATGGGGACCTTTTTTGACTAGTGTAAGTACCAAAGATTTACCAAACTGGGAAAATCTATCTATCTGATTCAGAAAGGGTAAACACTTACTAAATTTATCTTTTTTTCCTTGTTAAGGAATGAATAACTGGGGCCAAACAAAGTTGGAAAAGGGAATATATATAAGCTGCTTAGCTAAGTTTTTGGAAGGTTGAAATTCGTTTTTTTCCTGAAAATTTTACTTATTTTGGAAATTTAAGGTATTTAGTTATAAAGAAATACTTATGATATTGACTAATACTAGTAAAGTTGCTTTTCTAGATAATTGTACTAACGTCTTAGAAAAGCAGAAGCATAAATTATCTTTATCTTATTTCTTTATTTATTTCAAATTAGAAATCGGTTATTCAAATGTTATTTCCTTTTCCTTGTTCACCATAATTTTTTTCTCTATTATCTCTGCACTTCTTTCTTTCCCGCAAATCTCATCAAATTTTGGACAAAAATTGAAACATTTTAATTAAGTAAAATTGAAAAACTTATAGCATGTTTAGCCAAAAGGAAAAAAAAATATTTTTGAGGAGAAGCAGAAGCAGTTTTTGAGAAACAGAAAAAGTAGTTTCTTCCCAAAAGTATTTTTCTAGAATCATTTTTGAGAAAAATACACTTAGAAACAGTTTTCAAAAGCTTGACCAAATACTAATTACTGCTCAAAAGTGTTTTTCAAATTAATTAGTCAAACACAAATTGTTTCTCACCGAAAGCATTTTTTTTAAAGTACTTTTGAGAAAAATACTTCTCAAAATAAGCTAATTTTAGAAGCTTGGCCAAACCGGCTATTAATCATAGTCCCTAATGATAAATAATTTAAAAATATTTTTAAATGATAATTGCAAAGTAAAAGATGTACATGTCCTTTTTTGGTAATTAAATGTCTAAATTTTTTATTTTTTTTTTAAAAAAAATAGTCAAACACAAACTAACTCTTCTTTTATTTATTTTTTAGTGAAAACCTTTCACATGTCTTTCCACAATTACTTTTTCACTTATCTCAAGAGCTCCTCCTTCTCATTATATTTATCATATTTTTATATTTCCTTTTTTTTTTATTTCCAATAATCCTCTTAATATTTCTGTTACTCTTTAGTCTTCTCTAGACTTTTTATCAGGAGTAACCTTTTTCCTTTCCAAAAAAATTATTTTTCACGCTTTTCAAGAACCTCTCTTTAGTCTAATCATATCACATTTGGTCACAAGATGATTATGGAAAGGAATAACTTCCGGATCAACACTTATTGTTGGTTGAAATTAAAAGAAATTTGATTCTGTCACATTGGGACAAATGATTATTATAAATTAGCCAAGAAAAAAACATTAAAGAAACGAGTAAGGTCCATTCTTTTAGGGGTCATTTGACATGTGAGATGAGGAATAATAACGTCGAGATTAGATACGAGATTATTTTATTCCGTATTTATCTGAATTTTTTATCTAGAGTTAGCAATTTCGAAATTAATTAATTTCACAATTGGATATTATTCTATCTCACATTGAGGGCTGCATAATACTCTCGAGATAAATACTAAAATAACAAAGATGACCTTCTCCAAGGCTCTTCTCCCAAAGTCTTATAAACAATTCAAGGTTAAAATTGAAAATAAAAGTTTATCGCAACTTATCCAGTATACACCAAATATATATTTATATTATACCCCATATATCCTATTTTTATCCGATCAACAAACATCTTCTAATAAAAATATATTCACTAAATTAATCTCATCATTATTTAATTCTCATATTATAATCCTGTTATTATAATCTCGGAATAACTTATTTTCCTACCAAACAACCCTTTAATGTTGCCATTCTTAGTTTTTTTTTTTTTTTTTTTTTTTTTTTTTTTTTTTTTTTTTTTTTGTAACAAAGATTGTGTGGATAAGGATGATATCTTTTTTCACGCAAATCTTAAATATAGCTCTAGGTTTTTAATACACAGATTTGCACTTTTGGCAATAAAATAACTCTAAACTGCAGGGAAAAGGAGCTCTAGCATACCAAAATCAGCAGAGGCAACAATTTCAGCCTCAACAACCCATTCAACGTGATTTAGAGGATCTAATGAAGGCTTTCATTATCAAGACATATTAGAGGCTGGACGCTCATGGAGTAGCTATCAAAGAATTGGGCACTGGTTTGCGAAACCTGGAGAGACAAGTGGGACAGACTGCAACAATATTATCTGAGAGGGTTCCAGGCACTCTCCCTGCTGACACTGAAAAGAATCCCAAAGAAACAATGAATGTTGTAACTCTGAAAAGTGGGCAAGTGTTGAAAGATCCTACCCCGATCCAAAAAGAGGTGATACTTGAAAAAGAAAGTGGGGAGCAACTGAAAAATGATGTTGATAAAAATAAGAAAGGCCCGATGAAAACTGAGGAGAAGAAGAAGAAGAAGAAGAAGGAAGAAAAATCGAGAAGAGAGGAACCTGAGAAGAGCGAGCATATGCCTGCTTTACCTTTGCCCCAAAAGCTATATAGAAAAACGTTGGACAAGCAATTTGAGAGATTTCTGGATGTGCTGAAACAGGTTCATGTAAACTTACCATTTACAGAATTGCTCTCACAAATGCCTGCTTATGCCAAATTTATGAAGGAGATCCTGACAAAGAAGAGAAAAATAGATAAGACCTCAGTGGTCAAGCTTACAGAACATTGCAATGCTATATTGCAAAATAAACTCCCAACAAAGTGTGGAGATCTAAGGAGTTTTACTATACCTTGCTCATTAGGGACTATAAATTTTGATAAGTCTTTATGTGATTCAGGTGCATCTATCTATTTACAGGAAACTGGAGAAGGAGATTGGAGAGATAAGGTCGGTGCCAATATCTTTGCAGTTGGCAGACCAAACGACTTTAATATACGAGGGATAGTGAAATATGTGTTAGTTCGGATGGATAAGTTTGTATTTCTTGTAAATTTTATATTGGTGAATATAGAGGAAAATAGGGAGGTCCCCCTCATCTTAAGAAGACCATTCTTGGTGACGGGCAGAGCGATATTAGATATACATGAGAGAAACCTCATGTTTAGAGTGGGTGAGGAGACTGTGACTTTCAAGATGGATATAAAAAAGGTGGTGCAAAAAGAAAAACCAAGTGCGAGTGTTGAGTGGAAAGTGAAGGGCTCAATAAATAAGGTTGCACTGAGTGAGAAAGATAAGTGTGGGGTGTAC